ATCAATAAAGCAAGAACCCCAAATATTACATGATTAAGGAAAGACATGTTTAGAGATAAAGCATTAAATATATTTTTTAGTGTTTAAATTAAACATGAAAATCTGTTTATTGTGGTTTATAATTAATATAATATATATTATTTATATAGTCGGAAATGTATACTATATTTTAGAACTATTAATTAATATTTTAAATAAAATGTTGTAGATATAATGGTTCTCACATTATTTGATTATATATAAATAATTTACTCCTGGCTAATACACACAGAAGTGAACAACGATAGATGATGAATATACATATATGTGCATTAATCTGTAGTTGGTAAATCATACAAGAAAGAGTAATTTATCATAGCTTAAATGATATTGATACTTACTAAATATATTTGTGTTAAATGTTATATAAAATTTTCCTTAGCTAATTCTTACATTAGAATTTATGTTTTATCATAATAAAATAATGATAATAAAACATATGGTTGTGTGCATTTTAAGGAAATTTATGATAATCATAATTTTGTATAATTTGACATAATTAAAAATATTATATTTTGCTGATTTTACAATGTATATTTTTCGTGATATATAATAATTATGTATTTTCAAAAATCAATCTAAAAAAAGTAAAAATACATATTTATATAATATAGCGAAGTATCTTTATTATATAAACAATCCTTCATTAATAAAAATAAGAAATAATAAAAAGGAATTATACATAAATTATAATAAATATCAAAATATAAATAAATGATAAACACTTTATATAAAATTTCCATGGGAACATAAAGATATGGTATATATAAATGTTAAAAATATCAAGTAAATTTAAAGTAGATCCATGAAATATAACATAGTATAAAAATATAGACGCCCAATGTGTCTGGTTTTAACTTTACTGTTTCATTATATGACACATATTATGTTATATTATAAAAAAATATAATTTTACATTAAGAAACAGATAAAGAAACTTATTTATTCAACTAAACATAATAAAAAACTGTTTTTGTGTTAGTTAAAATTTTTACTCAGTGTAATTCTAATGCATGTTATTAAGTGGCTATATTAGTATTAATATTATATTAATAAAGAAAAATGAATATATAAAAAATATAAATAAATTTACTTTATTACAATGCATTAAAAATTTTAGCATCGTAAGAAAATGAAAAATAAATATTCATTAATCTATTATATGTATTAGGTATTTATCGCATAATTTGTAAAAATTTCAGGCACTGTTTTAATACGTAAATTATTCTATAATAGATTAACCATATGTTTTGTTTGTCAGATATTTGTTATTTTATTATATCCATTTACTAAACAATTTTTTATATGTAAAATGTTGTACATTATAAAAATATATTACTAAAAGTTTTTTTTTATTTTTCTGTATAGGTAGTAATACTGATTTCTATGAATAATACATATTCATATTATTTTAATAGTATAATTAATAGGTTTTTCTTAATGTAACATAATTAATCAAAATGAAGCTTTTTTTTACTATTTACAAGTCATAAAATTTTTATGTGTTTGTGCAACTGCAAATCATGAAGCACCAATTTTCATATATAGCTCATCTATTATAAGAATTATAGTCTTCTATTATTATATAAATATAATTTTTTATTTAATTAAAGTAATATATAGAAAAAAATTATTTTATCTAAATTTAAATTTTTATTTTAATCAAAATGTTCAGGTTAGTTCTGGCAAATCTAATCAAATTTAATAATATATTATTATGCTTATTTTATCAATTAAGAAATATTTTTAACACAGTATAAAAAAAGAAAGAAATATATATACATTTTTTATAATTAGTAAAACAAATTTATATATTTTATATTATTTTCTTTGATGTTACATCTAATAGTTGAAGATATTCATCTCATTTTTATATGAAAATATGTATAATCTTCAGTATATCATTTATAAAAATTCAACACTTATACAGAAAAATTACATTTGCGAACGTTATGAGTTATCTATTATTTCATATTTTTTTCATTTTTTATTAAAGATATATTCTTCTTGTTAATATAATTCTAAAATGAATAAAATATATAAATAAAATTATAATTTATTATACTATTATTAGTAATTTAATTCCATGTGATAAATGTGTTCATATATTTTTTAAATTAATTAATTCTTAAAATTATTATTAATTCATTTTTTCATTGCATTACAAGCATTATATTACACATTAGATTAATTATATTTTCCTGTAATATATCATTCTTTTCAACCTTCTTAATATTTTAATATATTATAATTTCTTACATTAGTTAATGCTTTTCCTTATATTATGGCACTCATAGCATTATAATATTCTATAAATATTAAATATATAAAACTCCTGTAAAATGAAAGTTTATGTATGTATAAATTAAAATATAAAACGTAGATATAATATCATGGAAAATCATAAAATCCATGACAAATATAATTCGAAATAAAAAATTAAAAATAAATGCTGTGTGAATGTTAAATTTAAAAAAATATGAAATCAAATTACATTATAACATGTTCAATTTTCACTTAAATTATATATTCATTTTACTTATATATAAATATATATTGTTCCTTCAGATTCTATTTTTAAAAAAAAGGAAAAAATTATAATTCCATAATGAACCTCAATAGAGTAATTATAATAAAATAAACTCTTAGAATCATAGATAAAAGTATTTTTGTTACTAATGAAAATTATTATATTTTATCTTGTATAAAAATATCATATCACACTATTACAACTAAAAGAAAAAAATAAATATATATCCATATAATAATAAAATATATCTAAGCATTATAAAAAAAATACTACCGCTTAATTGTTATACACATTAATATAATTATGTAACATTGTGTAATATAAGATTTTATATATTAAAGTAGTTTTCTCTGATTTTTTATTAAGAATACGCGTTCATTCTATGTAATTAAAAACATTATTACAATATTACATTGTTAAAAGTAGTATAGGAAATTAAATGGTAAGCTAAAAGATAATTAATTAATTATAGTATAAAAAACTGCTCAGATTTAAAAGAATACAGATTCTAATAACAATAGAAAATAAAAATAAAAGAAATAAAAAACTTATTCATTTTTAATATGAAAAT